CCTCAGAATAAGGGGAGGACTTCATGGAAAGGGGTGGGTGTAGGGTGGTCCGATGGCCTGGAGAACATAATCCTAAGTATGTAGGGCCCTCTGCCTCCCCCTGGGAGCCTGGGGCTTCCCTTCTCTCCAGATGCACACACTGAAAATACAGAAGAGGACAATGTTTTGTTGATGCATACGCTGTTGGCAGCAACTAAGGATCCACCTGTTGCCAGCCGGCCTAAGAAAAGCAAGACCAAGAAGACCTCTGTTAAGGCTATTAATAAGACCACACCTGCTGCCCCTCCAGTTCCATCTTCCAATGAGATTGCAACCAACAAGCCCCAAATAACTTTGCAGACTTTAAACTTGCCAATCCTAACCCAGATCAGCCAGGCTTCAGCTACTGCCGAGGCGGCCAATATTCAGGCTTCATCCCTCACTGCTCAGCCTAAGAAAGTCAATAAGACAAAGAGAGTTAGTCCCAAGGCATCTCAAGGCTCCCAATCTCTCATTGGCAGTGAGGGTGTCACTCCACAGGTTAAGTCACCCTTGAAGGCACTAAATGTACCAGTCACTTCCCAGACTATCCAGGCTCCAGTTGCCAATGAGTCAGCCAATTCCCTGGCCTTGACAGCCTCCACCAAGCCTAAGAAACCTTCCAAGGCTAAGAAGGCTGCCAGTAAGGCCGCAGCTTGTGCCACTGAGATCTCACTGGCTCCAAGTACCACCCACATAGTTACTCCCCAAGGCCAAATTGCCAATGAGACAGCCAATATCCAGGCCACAGCAACCTCCATTCGAACCAAGAAAGCGTCAAAAGCCAAGAAGACAAATGCTAGGGCAACAAATACTGATGCTGAGCATCTAGAGGCTCCACATGCCATGGAGGCAGTTAGCAAACAGGTTGAGGCCTCAGCAGCTCTCCGGCCCAAAAAACCTAAGGGCAAGAAGGTTGCCAATAAGGGCTCTAGTTCTGCCTCGGAGATCTCTGAGGCCCCATCTGCTGTTCAGATGGTCTCAAATCATGCCCTGTCTGTTACCGTGCGGATCAGGAGAGGATCTAGGGCCCGAAAGGCTGCCACTAAGTCTCGGGCAACTGAACAGCCTCAAATTGCTGATCAAGGGGCTCAGGCCAAGATGGCTACCTCTCAGACCAGTATAAGTGCCCTTGAGACTCAGGTTGCTGCTGCTGTCCAGGCCTTGGCAGATGACTATCTGGCTCACTTGAGTTTGGAGCCCACGACTAGGACTCGAGGCAAGAGGAACCGAAAGGTAAGATCTGTGACATCATTCTTTTATGATGCTCTCTATTCCTATCCCTTTAGCTCGCTGATTATTTTTCTATGAATATTTACTAAACCTTTTTACTCTGAGCTAGTCTCTGTGTTCAGATATAGAGCTGCTGAGAAGAAAAGAGAAACAATGTGTCGTATTGTTCACAGATTGGTAGGGAAGTAAGATGTCTATATACTTAGCTACAGCTTGTATGTAACTCACCTTAAATTACACAGTAGTTACCATGTAATAGGGTTTGTGTTGTTACATTTACATAGGTCATGTCCTTTTGTCTTGAAAGCAACTCCCTACTGTCTTGGAAATATATATCCAGTTTTATAGATGAGAAATTCAAGTCATTGAGAAGTGATATGACTCATCCAAGATGTATGGCTAGCACAGTCTAGTGGTGACCAAAGAAATAAAAGGAACCCCAGGCCCTGCTCTTGGGTTGCTTCTGCCCTTGCAGGGGAATGAAAAGGAAAAAAAGGAAAGAGAAGCTGAGGACTCCATGGCCAATGACAGGGTCAGAGCCCACTACAGGAGGAGAAGTCTTCAGGGGACTTCTGGATGAGAGAGAAAGGATCCAGCCAACTCTTTTTCACCCCCCCCCCCTTTTTTCTGATGATAGTCTAAGCATTCAAATGGAGAAGAGAAAAGTGGCAATAATTATAGGCGGATCCCATGGGGTCGGAGGCCTCCACCACCCCGAGATGTGGCCATTTTACAAGAAAGGGTAAGAATCCAATGTTGCCTCGTTGCTGTTCTTCCCTTCCCCTTTTGTCATTCTTTGAAGTTTCCTGCCAATATATTGATATATTCTTATCTGTTTCTCTTTTCTCAGGCAAATAAGTTGGTGAAATACCTGTTGGTTAAGGACCAGACAAAGATTCCCATCAAGCGCTCAGGTAGTATCCTGCCAATCTCCCTTGAGCTCTCTTTTTCCCCCATAGTCTAAGGAGAACCATTCTCCTTTAGAGGACCACCTTCTTTCCTGTCACCACTTCATTATTGCTGACATCGCTCATTAACCTGGATCACAAGTTTGTCTGTACTGACCCCACAGGGCTGGCAAAAGGTTGCAGCTCTATGGTCTATACTCAGACCAGCTTCTCCTACCTCTCCTTTCCTGCAGATATGCTGAAGGATGTCATCCAAGAATATGAGGAATATTTCCCAGAGATCATTGAACGAGCAAGCTATGCTCTGGAGAAGGTGATGGAGAAGCCCTGGGGGATGGGCACATTGGGGAGGCCATGAATGAACTAGGTGTACAGTGACCAAAGAGAACTACTAATACATCCCTATTGCTGTGCACTTGGGCACACCTGACCTATGGAGGGGTATAGATCAGCCACAGGTCAAACAAGAAGCCAGTGGTGACAACACAGCTCAGATCTCAGCCCCTAGCTTATTATGGCTTCTGTCTGCTGTTGCTGCACACATCCTCTCCCGTGTTTCAGATGCTCACCTCTAATTCTCCCTGGATTCCCAATAAACAAAAATGAGGTTGATGATGGTAATAATTTGTTATTATTTACTGTGTGCCAAATACTTAGTTTCATGCTTTATACACAGTCACACTGACTCATATATGCAAAACCCTTAGGTACATGGGGGACCTGAAGAATACCTGGGAAGCTGATTTTGTGATCTTATAAAGCTATTCTTTTACTTGGCAGATGTTCCGAGTCAATCTGAAGGAAATTGATAAGCAAAATAGCTTGTATATTCTTATCAGCACTCAAGAATCCTCTGCAGGCATACTGGGAACGTAAGCTGGGAAGGTGCTGGGGTGGAAGGTGGACTTCTTTTATCCATAGTATGAAACCCTTGTCTCTCTTCCTACATCCTCTTAGAGGGTCAGGAAAGACAGGGCTTGCCTCTTAGCTGGATGCTGATAGCTTATGCCTATAATTCTAGCTACTCAAGATGCTTGAGGTCAGAGGATCATGGTTTAAAGCTACCTGGGCAGGAAAGTCTATGAGACTCTTATCTGCATTATCTCTAGAAGTAGAGCTGTGGCTCAAGTGGTACAGCTATAGTTTTGAGCAAAAAAAAACTTAGGGACAGCACCCAGGCCCTGAGTTCAAGCCCCAGGACCAAAAAACCCCACAAAAATCAGGAAGGACGGGGGAGTGAGGGAGGGAAGCAAAAAGGAAAGGAGAGGAGAGGGAAAAGGAAAGGGAAAGGCAAGAAGGAAGAAGGAAGGCAGGTAGGCTTGCTCCTGCCCCAGCTTCTGCTGCTGAGTTGAACCCTGTATATAGTAGTGGTGCCTGATTATGATTGACTGAAGGATATAGGAGCCTAGGATGTAGAATTCCTGCTGTAAGGTTTCTCTTCTTTCCAGAAGCTTCCCAGGCAAGCATGCCTGTTGTTACTTGTCTGTTCCTATTGAGTGTCTTGCCTGGCCTACATAGAATGGAGCTCTAAGGGGACAGAGAGCTTCTGTGTGTGTGTGTGTGTGTGTGTGTGTGTGTGTGTGTGTGTGTACATGTACATGTACTGTGATGCTTGAGAGGTAGTAATATCACAGGCTCTGACTAGAAGTCGTCAGGTCTGTGAGCTCTGGAAAAAACAAGGACCCACATTGACTGGGTTTTAACAGGTGTTCTTCTATTTTCTTGACAACAACCCTTGGGGTGAGTTAGGATATGTTTTTCCCTCTACTGAATCAGAGACCTTGGTTCAAGAGTCTTTAGTCCTTTACCTTGGGGTCCCAGGGAACTGGAAGCATAGGCTGGGCAGAGTTCTCCCATATCTGAGGAATAAGAACAGCACTAGTAAACTGGCTTGTGTATCTTGCAAATGACTTCTAGATATAAATTTTGTTTTTATCTTATTATTCTCTTTAGGACTAAGGACACACCTAAGCTGGGCCTCCTCATGGTAATTCTGAGTGTCATTTTTATGAACGGCAACAAGGCCAGTGAGGGTGAGTGGCTGGGCATGCAGCTGAATGGGTGACTGTGGTCTGAATTCCACATGCTCATTTTCTGTCCCTGTTTCCTCTTGCCTCCCCTTGCAGCTGTCATCTGGGAGGTGCTGCGCAAGTTGGGGCTGCGCCCTGGGTATGATTGGGCTCTCAGCGCTTGCTGTCCGTGTTGTCCTTTGGCAAGAGAGGACGATCTCAGGATTGTATCAGCTTGGTGTTGTGGTGGTGCGGGTGGGGTTTCTGACCTGGGTGGATGGGGAAATTGGTCTGAACTCTTGCTTCTTTTCTTCATCATGTCCTCTGTTTTAAGATAAGGTATAAGGTAGACCTTCAGGAATCCCTGACAAAGCCACCTGGCTTCTGCTGTTTGCTTCTAGTGGCTATGTGCTTTTACTACTTTCTTCGCTTCGTTGACACTGCCCCATGTGCTAGAGAGGTCTCTTCCATGTTGGGAATTGCTTCTGCCCTCATCCAAGCAGTTCGTTCTGTATTCATTGGTTGTTTTTTGTTTTGTTTTGTTTTGTTTTTTAACCATTGCCAGGGTGAGACATTCACTTTTTGGGGAAGTGAGGAAGCTCATCACAGACGAGTTCGTGAAGCAGAAGTAAGTGGTGTTTGGAAGCTTTATCTTCCTGTGAAATATTCTGGATGTATGCTGGTCTGGTTCAGAAAGTGTATAACCAGTACCTTTCATTTCTCACACTGTCTTTAGAGTGATGGTTGTCCTGTGTCCTAGACTTGAGTTTTGTCTAAATTTCCTGGACCTGTCCAGGACTAGGCTATATACCAAACAAAAGGCCTATGCAGTGGGGTATGCTCAGAGCAGGAAACTTGAAGACTGGCTCCTCTGTTTATAACATATTCAACCAGAATCTGGGGTTACTCCTTTCGGCAGCAGGACACACTGGCCTTCTTCTGCCACCAGACCCTCTATCTGCATCCAAGTAACTATTGCACAGGACCACTGGAAAATGTCTCAGTCTTAGAGACCAAGGCCAAGATTATATATGAGAATGTTAGTCTTGGGAATCTTTAAGGTTCCATAGGCTATTCAGAATTTTTGGAGGTTGCTATTCCGAGCTGTGTTTAAGTAGGATTTTCTTAGTTAGAAGCAACTTTTTGTTTCTTTTTTCAAAGGTACCTGGAATACAAAAGGGTCCCAAACAGCAGACCACCTGAATATGAATTCTTCTGGGGCCTGCGCTCTTACCATGAGACTAGCAAGATGAAAGTCCTCAAGTTTGCGTGCAAGGTAATGCGCTGCCTGAGCCTTAGCATGGTAAGGAGCTGGATTACCCCCTGGCTGAGGCAGGCTCTATGTTGTGTTAGAAAGGTACAAGGTAGCCAGCTATGTATGTATGTACACACACACACACACACACAGAGGCATAAAGCCTCATTAATACAGAATGCTGTCAGATACATACTTTATAATGTATCATTCATTTTTCATAGTTGATATTAATCAGTTTAGGCTGCCATTGCAAAATACCAGAAACTGAATGGTTTAGAAAGAAGAAATTAGTTATCTCAGGATGCTGAGAATGTCAGATCATTACCTAGCAGTCAGTTTCTGGTTATAGTTCTAGGTTTTAGGCAAGTTTCTTTTATGGTGTGCCCTCTCATGGCAAACAATGAGTCCAAGCTCTCTGGTATCTTATATTACAAGGACATGAATCCTTTTGCCTTAAGTGGAATTACCTCTATAAAAGGCCCCATCTCACCTCACTTTGAAAATACAATCGTTTTAGAGGTTAGATATTTAACAGTCATTTCACATACTGTAAAAAGTATCTGAAGCCAGGTGCTGGTGGCTTACCCCTAAAATTGTAGCTATTCGGGAGGCTGAGATCTGAGGATCATAATTTCTAGCCACTCTGTGCAGGAAAGTCATTGAGACTCATCTCCAGTTAACACCAAAAAGCTGGAATTTGGAGCTGTGGCTCAAGTAATAGGTAGCCTTGAGCAAAAGAGCTCAAGGACAGCACCCAGGCCTAGAGTTCAAGCCCCAGGACCACCACGTACACACACACACACACACACACACACACACACACACACACACACACACACACACACACACACACACACACACACACACAACATTTGAGCCTAGTGAGATTACTTAAAACTTGTACAAGTTCATTCATATAACACCTAAGTTATCAGAGCTGAAATTAGATCTCAGGACTTACCCATTACAGAAGCTTCAATGAGTAAGAGTTTTAAAAAATTGCTATTAATTTTATACAGATACCATAATAGAGACGCCTCATATATAATTACAAAGACTATTTCCTATTAAATGATTGTCATTTCCATTTCAGGTACAGAAGAAGGACCCCAAAGACTGGGCTGCTCAGTACCGGGAGGCAGTGGAGATGGAAGTGCAAGCTGCAGCTGTAGCTGTGGCTGAGGCTGAGGCCAGGGCTGAGGCAAGAGCCCAGATGGGGATTGGAGAGGAAGCTGTGGCTGGGCCCTGGAATTGGGATGACATGGATATCGACTGCCTAACAAGGGAAGAGTTAGGTGATGATGCTCAGGCCTGGAGCCGATTTTCATTTGAAATTGAGGCCAGAACCCAGGAAAATTCAGATGCCACCAGCAATGTTGACTTCAGCCAAGGAGCTAGCCCCAGGGGTAGCTTCAGTGATGCTGCTAGTATTAGCTTCAGTGGCAGCCCCAGTCCCAGTGGGGGCTTTGGTGGTGGAGCTGGTATTACCTTTTGTGGTGCACCAAGCTCTAGTGCCAGCTTCAGCAGTGCAGCTAGCATAAGCTTTGGTGGCACACCCAGCACTGGTGCCAACTTTAGCAGTGCAGCCAGTATTAGCTTTGGTGGTGCACCTAACACTAGCACTAGTTTCAGTGGTGGAGCCAGTATTAGCTTTGGTGGCACACCCAGTACCAATGCCAGCTTTTGCAACACAGCCAGCATTAGCTTTGGTGGATCACCCACTACTGTCACTAGTTTCAGTGGTGGAACCAGCATTAGCTTTGGTGGAGCACCAAGCACCAGTACCAGCTTCAGCAGCACAGCCAGCATTAGCTTTGGTGGTGCACCCAGCACTACTACTAGTTTCAGTGGCGGAGCCAGCATTAGTTTTGGTGGAGCACCAAGCAGTAGCACTAGTTTCAGTGGTGGGGCCAATATTAGCTTTGGTGGTCCACCAAGCACTAGCACTAGTTATAGCAGTGCAGCCAGCATCAGCTTTGGTGGTGCACCAAGTACCAGCACCAGTTTCAGTGGTGGAGCCAGTATTAGTTTTGGTGGTAGCCCTTGTACCAGTGCCACTTTCAGTGATGGAGCCAGCAGTGGCTTTGGAGGCACACTTGGCACCACAGCTGGCTTTAGTAGTGCACTTAGCACAAGCACCAGCTTTGGAAGTGCACCCACCACAAGCACTGTCTTCAGTGGTGCACTGAGCACCACCACTGGCTTTGGAGGCACACTTAGCACCAGTGTCTGCTTTGGTGGTTCTCCCAGCTCTGGTGCCAGCTTTGGTGGCACACTCAGTACCAGTATCTGCTTTGGTGGCACTCCTAGCACCAGTACTGGTTTTGGTGGCACCCTCAGCACCAGTGTCTCCTTTGGTGCTTCTCCTAGTACCACTTCTGACTTTGGTGGCACACTCAGCACCAGTGTCTGCTTTGGTGGCTCTCCTAGCACCAGTGTGACCTTTGGTAGTGCACTCAGTAGCAGTGCTGGTTTTGGTGGAGCACTCAACAACAGTGCTGGCTTTGGCAGTGCCATTAGCAGCACCAGTGCTAGCTTTGGTGGTACACTCAGTAGTGCTACTGGCTTTGGTGGTGCTGTTAGCACCAATACTGGATTTGGTGGAGCACTCAGCACCAGTGCAAGCTTTGGTGGTGCACTCAGTAGTGCTGGCTTTGGTGGTGCCGTGAGCACCAGTGCCAGCTTTGCTGGAGCACTCAATAGTGCTGGCTTTGGTGGAGCACTCAGTGTCAGTTCTGGCTTTGGTGGTGCTGTTAGCACCAGTGCTAGTTTTGGTGGTGTACCCAGCACCACCCCTGACTTTGGTGGTGTATTCAGCACCAGTGCTGGTTTCAGTGGGGCACTTAGTACCACTGCTGACTTTGGTGGTACTCCCAACAACAGAATTAGCTTTGGCAGTACTCCCAGCACCAGTGTGAGCTTTGGTGGAGCTCATAGCACCAGCCTGTGTTTTGGTGGGTCACCCAGCACCAGCCTCTGTTTTGGCAGTGCATCTAACACCAACCTGTGTTTCGGCGGCTCTCCCAGCACCAGTGCCTGTTTTAGTGGTGCCACCAGTGCCAGTTTCAGTGATGGGCCCAGCACCAGTGCTGGTTTCAGCTTTGGCAATGCTGGATTTGGAGGTGGACTGAGTACTAGCGCTGGCTTTGGTGGTGGCCTAGGCACCAGTGCGGGTTTCAGTGGTAGCCTAGGCACCAGCGCTGGCTTCGATGGTGGCCTAGGCACCAGTGCTGGCTTTGGTGGTACATTAGGCACCAGCACCGGCTTTGGTGGTGGGCTAAGTACCAGCTCTGACTTTAGTAGTGGACTGGGCACCAGTACTGACTTCAGTGCTACACTAGGCACCAGCACTGGCTTCGGTGGTGCACTAGGCACCAGCACTGGCTTTGGTGGCGGACTAAGCACCAGTGCTGGCTTTGGTGGTGGACTGAGCACCAATTCTGACTTCAGTGGTGGACTAAGCACCAGCACTGGCTTCGGTGGAGGACTGGGCACCAATACTGGATTCAGTGGTGGACTGGGTACCAGTGCTGGCTTTGGTGGACTGATCACCAGTGATGGCTTTGGTGGTGGACTGGGTCTGGGTACTAACGGTGGTTTTGGCAGCACACTTGGCACTGGTACAGGCTTTGGTGGTGGCCTTAGCACCGGCGATGGCTTTGGAGGTGGGCCTAATGCCAGCTTCGACAGAGGACTGAGTACCATCATTGGCTTTGGCAGTGGTTCCAACACCAGCACTGGCTTTACTGGTGAACCAAGCACTGGCACCAACTTCAGCAGTGGACCCAGTTCTATTATTGGCTTTAGTGGTGGACCAAGCTCTGGTGCTGGCTTCTGCAGTGGACAAAGCACTGGTGGCTTTGGTGGTGGACCAAGCACTGGAACTGGCTTCAGTGGAACAAGCTCTGGAGCTGGCTTTGGTGGTGGACTGAACACCAGTACTGGCTTCGGCGGCGGTGGACTGAGCAGCAGCACTGGCTTCAGTGGTGGACCAAGCACCAGTGCTGGATTTGGCAGTGGACCAAGCACCGGTGCTGGCTTTGGCGGTGGAGCCACTAGCCTTGGTGCCTGTGGCTTCTCCTACAGCTAGTGTGGTTTCAGGTAATTGCAATATCCTCCTTTCCAAGGCCCCTGGGGATGGGTACAATAGCTGGGAGATGTTAAAAGTATCCCTGAGATAGGAGGGTTGAGTGGGAAAACGAAGGCAAGGAAGTGTGAGCAACCCATCCATTTGGTACTAAAATGTGTTCCTGTTTGCTTTTGTTTTTCAGATTTATTCTCCTCGTTTACGTATTCTGCTAGTGAGTTGCAGCAGTTTTTCCCCTGGAGCCCTGCTACAGCCTTGGAATCTTTGTCTGCACAGCAGTTTAAGCAGCTACTACCAATCAGCTGAGAGTGGTGATACACTTTGAAAAAATCTGTTTGCTGTTCCTGCTTTCTTGTTTGCTTCCTGTGTGCTGTCATATTTTGGTATCAGAGTTACATTAAATTTGCAAAATGATTTGGAAGTGTTTCTGTCTTTTATTATGCTTAAGGTAGTTTTGAGTGACACCTTGGTTTTATAGAAGAGCTAGAGGGCAGCATAGCTCTTTGGACAATGTGGGGTTCCAGTTTTAGACTAAACGGCAGGGATTTTTTTTCAGTGTTAAGAGAAGCCTGGGGGCAGGTTGGAGATGTGGCTCAGTTTTTAGAGTGAAAGCATCAAATACCTCGTTCAAGTCCTGGTCTCAAACCAAAAAGAAAAATAAAAAAAGAGAAGTCTGGGAAACCATGGCAGTCCAGGGGACATGAGCTTGGGCAAACATGGAGCAGAAGACAAAGGGTAGTAAACATCTGGGTACTAAGTACAGATTTATTTTGAGTCATTTGTGTAAGAATGGAGATGGAGAGATAGGAAGAAGAGGTAACTAGAGAACATGGGAATAAGGGAAGATTTTCTTAGGATAGGAAAGAAAGATGAGCCCATTACATTAATCAAAACCAAGAGAGAATTTGAAGTTTGATATTGGAAGACTCAGAATTGATTGATGTGTCTTGAGAAAGTAGGAAGGAAAGAGCTAGATAGGGATTGGGGCTTGAAAGCAGAGGATAACCCTGACGAATACACGGAACATATCAACAAAGATCTATTTCCAGCAACTCCAGGATATCCCAAGCAAAAAAACAGTGTCTACTATTATACAGGGTTTCTTTTTTCCATTTTTGTGGAGTTCATTTTGATAAATATTATTTTATATGATCAGAGGTATTGCCTCTGATCCACTAAGAGTATCACCCTTTGGTTTCACACCCTTTGGTGTGATTGCCTAGAGTGCTTTATATATATATATTTTTTGGTTCATCGTGGGGCTTGAACTCTGGACCTGGGCCCTGTCCCTGAGCTCTTCAGCTCAAGGGTAACACTTTACCACTTGAGGCATAGCACTACTTCCGTTTTCTGGTGGTTAATTGGAGAAAAGTCTAATAGATGTTTCTGCCCAGGCTGGCTTTGAACCTACCTCAATCCTCAGATCTCAGCCTCCTGAGTATGATTATAGGCATAAAGCCACCAGTGCCCAGCTCCTTTACAATTCATCATGCTATTTAGGGAATTGTACATTGCTAGGTGACTACAATGAAAGAACAAGGAAACAAAGACAGTAAGTTTGTCTTTTTTCTTCTTTGTGGTACTCAGGTTTGAACTTTGGGCCTTTTGTTTGTCAGGCAGTTACTTGAGCCACACCCTAACCCCTTTTTGATTTTATTTTTTGAATAAGGTGTCACATTTATTTCTAGGCTAGCCCTCCATTACCATGCTCCTGGTTATACTTCCTGTATAGATAATAGGTATGTACCTCTACACCATGCTTTTTACTGGCTGAGATGGCAGTGTTGCAAACTTTTTGCTTGGGCTGATCTCAAATCATGATGTTCCCATTCTCAGCTTCCCAAGAAGCTAAGATTACAGACATGAACTACTGGTGTCTGGCAAGCACCGTATTCTTACATAAGGATGATGTACCTTGACCACCAAGGACCAAAGCCCCCAGGCACTCACAATGACTTATTTTATTTTTTTGGGTCCGGTTGTGGGGCCTGAACTCTGGGCCTGGGCACTGTCCCTCAGCTCTTCAGCTCAAGGCTAGCGCTCTACCACTTGAGCCACAGCACCACTTCCGGCTTTTTTCTTTTTGCTTATGTGGTGCTGAGGAATTGAACCCAGGGCCTCAGGCATGCAAGGCAAGCGCTCTACCACTGAGCCACCTTCCCAGCCCTCACAGTGACTTTATTTTTCTGTGTCATTTTTGGAGGTGCTACTCTAGGACTATATTCCAGGAAGCTCTTTGCCTCCCCTCCTCCCCGCCCCCAACAACCCCCCTGTCCCAACTCATTTCACATCCAGAACATCAGCATTGGGTTTGGACCAAGATCTTGGAAATGAAAGGAGAAGTCTTTAATCACCCATCAACAGGCAGTACGAAGTCTTTATTCATCAGAAAATAGAAATTAAGATAGTTTGATCTACAGCTAGGTAGGCTCTTTAATTGTGCCTAGGAATTGAGACTTGTTTGGGAATTGCTGAGGACTTGTACATTATAGCTAGTGTTCTCTCATTGAGGCTAAGGCTAGAATAGCAGGTACAGCTGTCCTACAGGTGGGAGGCAGTGAGCACAGAGGCAGTTTGAACTCTTGGAAAAGGCTCAGTAATGGGCAGGGACGGTATCCAGGGCTTCCTTGGGTTCCCGGGTGATATCCACATTCTGAAAAGAGATTGCAGGGTTAAGATGAAGGAGATAGCAGTGTAGATCCTCAGTCCTTTTCCAGCCTCCTGCTTTCACTGCTGGGCTCCCATATTTTAGCCAGGCCCAGGTTCTGACCCTTTTCTCAGGCAGGCCTCTGGGAATCTTAATCTAGGGCCTTTGGGGCAGGGAATGTCCCAGTCCAGTGCCTACAGTGCTTCAGATCTGGGCTATGGCTCCTTCATTTCTGGGGGCTGGTTGTTTCCCCATTGATATGAACCATCCAGGATCTTTAGGGCTAGGGTGGCTCTTCTGTGAGGGAGTGTGTTCTCACCATGCTGTACCCACAGCTAATTCCAGTACAGAACGCCTACCTCTGGCTTCTCCCGGTGTGTGTTCACAGCCTCTACATTCAGGTAGATGGACTCCACTTTACAGCCTCAGAAAAGAACAAGCCATGTGTTCATAAGCCCTTGAGGTAAACACAGGTCTTCCTGAGGTATCATTCCCTATCCCATAGCACCGCCCCCCCCCCCCCCCCCAGCTACATTGTTCTGTAGGGAGAGGAATTCAGACTAGGCGGATGTGTGAGGAAGATGTTCCCACCTCCACCCCTAACAGTCTCGAGTTGTCTGAGTTTCAGTTGCTCATTTGTACATGGGTAGGAGATGATGTAAGACTGATGAATTCAGAAGACATGGAAGAGCCCTTGGCCACTGGTCTTGGCACTGACACCCAGGCAGTCTGCTTAGTAGTTAGTGTGGTTATGATGATACTGGATGTGTGGATGTCATGAAGGAGTTCTAGGAGCTTGGGACTGATAGAGGAGGCTTAATGCCTCCGGAAGCCCCATTAACTCTGTTCCTGTGGAACACATGCTACTTCAGGTGCAGTAGGTTATGCTGTTCTGTTTATACCCCTGAGTAGATTTGAATATGTCCTTTCTCTGCTTGTGAACCTTTCCTAACTAATACCCAATAGAGTCTAAACTATGCAGGATAGATGGTGTGCCTAGAACGATATATAAACTTTCCTCAATATAGCCTCAACCTACAATTTTTTTCTCTGGTTTCCTTTGAGGACTACCCTTTATAGCTCAGTGTTCTGTGCTCAGTGCTGGGTTAGAGATAGCAAGTTGGAGTGAGGCCCCAGATTTAGAGACCATCCTACTTCTTCTCTTTTATTCTACTGCCACCAGTCTTAGCTCCATTAAGATACTCTACCACCCACCCAGGAACCCTCTGCTCCCCAGAACTCTGGAACAAATGGCAGGCAGTGGAAGCAATGTTTATGGCCTCTATGTCCCTTTCCTTAGATGAGACTGGGGTATACTCACCATAAGCCACAGGTGTGAGTTTGAGAACTGTGTGTAGAGGGCACTTAAGATAGGGCAGCTCATCTACAAAGAAGGAGATAACAGTTTTCAGAGCCACTGTGCTGTTCCTAGCATCACCTCTCAAGCTCCTGGATTTCTGGTCACATCCCCTTCCATATCCCTGTCCCCAGGTGGGCCTCATCACACTCTGAAGGGGATGCTAACAGACTGGGCAGGGAGAATGTGAGCAGCCAGACTGACTTGGAACAGGGAGGAAAGAAAGCCTTGGGAAAGGTAAGCTGACTGGGAGAAGAGATAGCTATATCCTCATTCTTAGAATCACCAAGCCTCCCTCCTGCCCCAGGCCAGACCTTCCACTGAGTACTCCCACTACAAAGGCCCATAATTCATCTTGGCAAGTGTTCTCTGAGACCCTCCTATGTTCCAGTTCTGTGGCAGTGATGCATATGGCTCTTGACTGCTCCCACAACCTCCTCCAAGCCTGGGCCTGTTTTCTGGGACTCTCCTTCTTGTTCATGATTGACAAACACTGCTTAAGGCACTGATTCCCAGTTATTTACTATTATATGGAATGCCATTCCCCTATTATGTGAAAGTTATTGGCAATTAGCTGAAACACAGTTTCCTTTCTGACCTGTTTCCATTTTTTGGCAGTATTGAAGACTAGGGAGTTAGGCCCAGGGAAGTGGGCTTCAATGGGAGAGGGACTGGTTTGAATTCACAGCTAGGAAGTGGCAGTGCAGGGACTCAAACCCGAGGCCCAATGAGGACAAGACACTTGCTCTACACTTACGGTCTGCAGCTGCTGCCGTGGAGGACCTCACAGTGGGCTAGGGGTGACATTCTGAGCATTTTTCCCTTTTTTGTTCTGGGACTTGAGGGCCTGGGTGCCATCCCTGAGCTTCTTTTGCTCAAGGCTAGCGCTCTGCCACTTGAGTCACAGCACCACTTTCAGCTTTTTCCAAGTAGTTTATTGGAGATCAGAGACTCACGGATTATCCTGCAATCTCAGCCTCCTGAATAGTTAGGATTACAGGAATGAGCCACCAGTGCCTGACACTTTTCCTTCTTGTATCTACCCTCGTAGTCCCCAGGATTCAACGTGGATTCCCACCTTCCCTCATTAGCTAGAACAGTACTTATCATGGATTCTTGTCTCTTGGGCTCACTCTAGGCCTACAAGGACTGCTACCATCTTCTCAGACTCCTGAGACAAGATGGGCATTTTCCTGGGCATACATCCTGTTTCTGTTCATTGTCATCAGACTATTTGCCAAGGATTTTTTGTGCTTGATCTCATTGCACCCTCATTGATGCTCTTGGATCTTGTCTACCCTCATTGTCCACATGAGGAAACAGACTCAGAAAAGTGAAGCATTGCCGGGCACTAGTGGCTCACACCTGTAAATCCTAGCTACCTACTCAGGATGCTGAGATCTGAAGATCACAGTTCAAAGCCAGCCCTGGCAAGAAGGCCCATGAGACTTGTACCCCCAATTAATCACCAGAAAACCAGAAATGGAGTTGGTGGCTCAAAATGGTAGAATGCTAGCCTTGAGCAAGAGTTCAGGAACAGCACCCAGATCCTGAGTTCAAGCCCCATGACTGATAAAAAATGGCCAGCCTCTTTTTCCTTTGATCCTTCAGATGTAACTTTGATAGCGCTTTAGCTCTTTTATTCTATGGGTCTATCTTCTCATTATATCATCTCTTTGGGCCTTGTTCTATCATTTTCCTGAGTGATGGGGGTAAAACTAACAGATTGGCAGTGTGGTACCTGCTGCCCAGGGAAGTCGTGAGCAGCTGGCATAACTTGTATATAAGAGTGGGTATGGGAAGTGGTGAAAGAGAGAGGTACCTATGCTCCCCATATTATGCTTCTCATGTATATTTTAGATGGGAGGGACTCTAGTATGTACCTTGAACTAACTCCTATCCCTGACACTGAGCCCTCTGAGCTTGGGCAAGCCACTTCACACGACAAGCCTTGACTTCCTCATCAGGGCAATAGGGATTACAGTGCCTACCTCATAGTCTGAAAAAGTACCCTGACAAATAGATATGAACACATCAGAATTCTAGTAGTGCAAAAATGCCCATCACCCATCCCATCACCAATTTCCAGTGACAAAACTGAAGACTAGTTAGAGAAAATAACTTATGCAATGTCAAATTCTCAAGTTCCCTGGATGATTCCATATTTTGAAAATAGCCTAATAGAAAAGACCCAAGCATCTAAGACATTGGAGGCATTAAATATAATATTTCATTGTCTCAAACACTCAAAATATCTTGGAACACTTTCAGTATCCACATTACAAATGGCTTTCATATGTGAAGGTGATACAGCAGTCCCTTGTCACACCCCTTGTCCAGTTTGTATGCAAACAGTGTATAGATATTCTGTAGATGATTTTTAGACAGATTACCATTTGAAAAAAATTAAAATGAAGCCAGACACATGTGACTCATGCCAGTTATCCTAGCTAGTCAGGAAGCTGAGATCTGAGGCTTGGGTTTCCAAACTAGCCTAGACAAGAAAGTTCAAGAGATTCCAATTAACTACCAAAAAAGATAAAAGTGGAGCTGTGGCTCAAGTGTAGAATGCTAACCTTGAGTGAAAATAGCTTAAGTGCAGTGCCAAGGCCCTGAGTTCAAGCCCCAGTTCTGGCAACAACAAAAAATTAAAATGAGAAATTATTGCTATAGAAACCTATAATTAGGATCAAGAGGCCACAAAAGGTCACAGTCTCATTCAAGGACAGTATACTTCAGACAAATACTAACTCAACATTTTAGGCTAAAGCAGACTTAATTCTGGCTTTTAAATCATTACTTCATAATAATACAACAGCCCATATAAATATTATGAACTGTTCTAAGCTCTTTATATATTTCACTAAAATTTTACCATTCACTTTCCCTGCTTCACAAACTGAGGCTCATGAGGGTTACAGTACTTTGTCATAGGTAGGATGGTTAGTATGTAACAAAGAATCCGAGCTTAGGTATCCTTGATTTAGATATTGTACTTTTAACCAGTAAGATTTAAATCTCCAGTTGCAGGTGTCAGCATCTTAAATCACATCCAGATCCCCATGCCAGGAACAAAGAAAAGGGTATTACCTGAACTTTTATCCAGAAAGTACGCCAGGAGACACCGCATGACAGCCTGGTGGCAGATCACCAGAACATTCTCCTGTCGCTCCAGCTCCATTATAACTGGCTCCAGACGCTGAACCAGATCCTCATAGGACTAAAGGTGAAAGAAATACTTAGGCATATTTAATACAGAGGAAGACTTCCCAGGAACTGGACAAACCTAGTTAGGGGGTCTGTTGAGTTATAACTCATTTTCTCTTTAGGGTCTCAGTTTCTTATCTATTTAATGGATATACATATATTATAAATATTAAAATATATAATACAATAAACATTATATAACATACAATATAAACTATATTATATATTACATGTATAATATGATATGTGCTATGTATCACATATTAGATATGTGATATACGTTTATATTGTAATATATATGTGTATACATACAAACATACACACACATATGTGGCTTTATAACAACAAAATTCTCCATTACAAGGTCTGTACTAAATTGCACCACAGATATTTTAAAAGAATAAGGAAATTCTGAATATAGGGTTCCAAAATGAATATATATATATTATATATATATATATATATATATATATATATATGTAAGGTATGTAGAAGCCAAAGTTTTCCTGTGGGCACTTAGTAAGGCTCTTTAAAGAAATTTATAGAATTATAAGACAAAGGGCTAAGTGTGCACACAGAGGGGATTTGGGACCAAGATGAACAAATCTGAGACTCTTGAAGGGCAAGTCTGTAATTCTCAGTAAAATGTAAGCCAGCAAAAGTCCATGAACAGGTAAAAGGGAAAACAGCAAGAAAATGCATCTGTCCCTCCATGATTTTTGCTGGAAATAAAACAGGGAAATCCTCCTGTAAGAATTTATAAGTCTAACCTGGTATGGGTGGTTCATGCCTAAACCCTAGCTATTCAGGAAGCCGAGATCGAAGGACTGCAGTTCAGAGCAAGCCCAAGGCAGGAAAGTCTGTGAGAATCATATCTGTGATTATCCCCCAAGAAGCCTCAAAGTAAGCTGTGGCTCAAGTGGTACAGCCTGACTTCAAGCTCCTGGATCAACCACCACACATGCACACAAAAAGAATTGTAACTCTAAGTTCCCTTAGGTGGCTTTGTGATTCTGAATTATACTCTATATATGTTTTACAAGGTGGTTTTTTAATGGTCTTGAGTTGGTAGCTTCTAGGAGTAACTGGAAAAAGCAAATGGAAATTCTCTATAGATTTTCTCACCTCTGCTGCATGGGATTTCCATAGATAAATTCTTGTCAAAATGAAGCTCATAAATAGACAAGGAAATAAGCGGCTATGGATGAAAATAAGAAATAACAGGAATATAATCCTAAAAACATAAGATAAAGGATGAACAATATAAAATTAATGCTCGAAATATTTAAAGAAACAAAATATGCAAGTAAAAATCTAAGAAAGAAGCAAGAAATATATGATATAGATTTCAGAAAGAACTAAATAGAATTTCAGAAATGAAAACTATAGTCATTAAAGTTGAAAAGTAAATGGAGGGGATAGAGACTGCGTATTAAGTATGATTTGGTTTCTGAAGTGAATTGGAAGATAAAATAGAGCAAAATTCTCTAGAAGCCAACAAAGAAATCAAAGGGATAGACGAAGGATAAAGGGAGGAGTGACACTTGCCTAACAGTATTTCCAGAAAGAGATAACAGACAGAATATGAGAAGAATTTTTAAAGATGTAATAATATCTGATAGCATTGTACAATTGATGAAAATCCCAATCCTCAAATTGAGGATGTCCAACTCATATCAAGCAAGATAAAATAAGTTATTATCTAGACTTCAGAGGACAAAACAAAGAAAAAAAGCAACAAACATACAAGATACAATATTATGTTAGTCATGTATATTAGAATGCTGAGTGTAAGATGGTCTTAAAGAGACAGCCAACACTCCCATGTTTCCATAACACTGAGGCTCAGGGATAGTTGAATGACAAGGAAGAGCTAGGGAGGACAATAGTAAACAATAAGCAGAAGCTAGATGAAGTCTAGAATTTGAACTTTGGATTTATATAAGAAGCAGTGAGCCCTAACATAGAGCTCTGAGCAAAACGGTAATGCAGGGGGCCAGCACTGTAGGATCTAGCTTAGCCTGTTAACTGCCTTTTCTAGTCTAACTTGTCTGGAATTCAGAGAGGAAAAAACAAATATTCCCCAGAAAGGAAGTTGAAATCACAAGGCTGAGGGGTAATTCACTTTCTTTTTCTCAGTGAGGAAGAAAACCTGGTGTTTTTTTTAAAAATTATTTTTGTTTTGCTGTAGTGGTGGTTCATTGCAGTTTTTATTCTGTTCTTGTCCTTAGTACTCAAGTTTTCACTTTTAGTTATTCTTAGTTGTATCATGTCCTCTGTTCTATTAACTCCAACATTTCACATAACTCCACCCCATAAATGTTCCCTTCTTTCCTATTTTGCGTCTTCTATTTTCTTTCTGCATCACCCTTTGTTAGCATTTAATTATTAGTACCTCTCTAGCTAATAACTTTTAAACTCCTAGTGTATCCTATAAATATTCTAGCTTCTTTCTTTTGTAACTTTATTGGGAGTGTAGTTGATGTTTTGTACTATGGCTAAGTATCTGACAGTAGGGCTTGTGACCCTTAGAGAATACTCTCTACTAAGAAGACTGAAAAATCCCTCAAACAATATAAGAAGATGGCTGGAATTCAGCTCAAATAGTAGAATGCTTGCCTACTAAGTATGAAGCTCTGAATTCAAACCCAAGTACCACCCAAACAAATAAAAAGAGACACCCATCCTAAACATGCACAAATCACAATGTAGAAACCTAAGAAATAAGAATAGAGAGAATATAACTTCTCAAAGGCTCATAATTCCTTAATAACCAAAGTGAAAGTACTAAAATAGCTAAAATGGAAAAGAATTCAAAAGCCAAGTTTTAAAAATGATTGAGGGGCTGGGAAGGTGGCTCAGTGGTAGAGCGCTTGCCTTGCATGCATGAGGCCCTGGGTTTGATTCCTCAGCACCACATAAGCAAAAAGACAAAAGCCGAAAGTGGTGCTGTGGCTCAAGTGGTAGAGCGCTAGCCTTGAGCTGAAGAGCTGAGGGACAGCACCCAGGCCCAGAGTTCAGGCCCCACGACCGGACCCAAAAAAATAAATGATTGATATGCTGGGTACTGGTAATATAGCTCACAACTATAATCCTAGCTATTCAGAAGGCTGAGATCTGAGGATTACTGTTTGAAGACAGTTCAGTTGGTGAGACTTTTAGCTCCAATTAACCATCGAAAAGCTAAAAGTAGAGCTGTGGCTTAAGTGGTAGAGTGATAGCCTTGAGCACAAAACCTCATGGACAGAACCCAGGTCCTGAGATCAAGTCCTAGGACTAACACACACACACACACACACACACACACACACACACACACACACACACACACACACACACACACACACACACACACACACACACACACACACACTGTGACCTCAGAAAGAATTCAAACATCAAATCGGTAACATGGATGAGCAATTCAAGGCTATGTGATTTTGAAATAAAAAGAAAATGATGAAAATGAAAACTTCAATAAATAAAATAAAAAACGGAAGTGGAAATCATCATCTACTATCTCAAACAGAAGAAAGCATATAGGGTATTGAAGACAAGGTTGAGAGAGTACTATATTCAGATAGCAATAAAGGAATAAAAGTAAATGTGAACTCAGATTTTTAAGCACTCTGAGTCATGATCAAGAGACCAAAACTAAGAATCTACATGTTAGAAGAAGGAGCAAGATAAAAAGTAAAGTTATAGGAAAATGATTAAATGGAATTATTAGGGAAATAAAGGAAGCGTTTGGTATCCCAAATATACATAACCAAAAAGAATCTCTCCATTTCCCATTGCAGTTAAAATTCCAAGAATAGAGAACAACAAAAAGATATTGAAAGCTGCAAGAGAAAAATGTCAACTTCATGTAAAGGCAAAAACAATTTTTTTCAAACTTCTGAGCAGAAATCCTAAAAGCTACAAAAGCATGGAATAATATATGTCAAGCCCCAATAGTAAATAACTGCCCATTAAGAGCACCATATCCTACTTACCACTTAAAATCAATGAAGAAATAGAGACCTTCAAAGACAAGCACAAAATAAAGCAATCCACGACTACAAAGCCAGCTTTGTGAAAAATATCCTATACCCTGAGTAGGAATAAAGATAAGTCAGAAACATGAGAGCTCAGGAAAGAATACATTTCATGAGGAATTTATAAATACATTTGAAGAGGAAAGAATCAAATATGTTTAACTCAATAAATCAACAACCTAAGATGAATGAGAGCAAAAGAACAAATCATAATAGAATCAACCATAAAAAATACAACAAAACAACAGGAATTACCAAACTTCCCTTGATAACCATAAATGACTTTAATTCTCTAATTAAAAGTCATAGACTGGATTATTCGATTCAAAACAAGATCTACTTATTTGTTATCTGGAAGAGACACCCTCACTGACAAGGAAACACATACTGAAAGTGAAAGAATAGAAATTATATACCAAGCAGTGGAAGACAAAAACTAGCAAGGGTAGCTACATTCATACCTGACAAAACAGACTTTAAGCCAAAATTAGTCATAAGAGATAAAGAGGGTAAATATATTAGCAAAAAGAATAATCCATCAAGAAGATATAATGCCTTCTATAATCTTAGCTACTCAGGAGGTGGAGATCTGAAGATCATGGTTAGAAGCTAGCCTGGGCAAGAAAAATCCATGAGACTCTCCAATAAACTATTCAGAAAAAGCTGGAAGTGGCATTGTGGCTCCGGTTGTAGAGCCCTAGCCTTGAGCCTGAGAAGCTCAGGGACAGTACCCAGGCCCTCAGTTCAAGCCTCAGGAACAGAAAAAAAGGAGGAGGAGGAGAAGGAGGAGGGGGAGGAGGAGAGGGAGGAGGAGGGGGTGAGGGAGGGGGAAGGAGAAGAAGGAGAAGGAGAAGATGGAGAAGAATGAGAAGATGGAGAAGAAGAAATATTTCATAAAACACACACTAGTTGATATAAAGGTCCAGATATGATAATAGTTGGTGGTTCTAATATCCTATTCACAATAGCCACAAAAAAAACAGCAATAATCCTAAACTAGGTAAAAGACTTCTACCATGAAATTATAAAACATCGAAGAAATTAAAGACACTAGTAAATGAAAAGACTTGTTCACGGATCATTGGAATTAATTCTGTAAAAATGGCTATATTACCATAAATGATATACAGACTCAATTAAATCCCCTTCAAAATTCCAATGACATTCTTTACAGACTCAAAAAAATTCCCAAAATTCATATGGAAGCACAAAAAATCCTGAATATCCAAAACAATGCTGAATAAAAAGAGCAATGATGGAGGTATTATATCTGACTTCAAATTAGACTATAGAGCCATTGTAACAAAAACTAAAAATAGACCAGCCATATGATGCTACCATATCACTCCCGGGTATTGACCTGAAGGAATGTAAGTAAGCACACACCCATGTTTACTGCAGCAATCTTCACAATAGCCAAACTATGGAGTCAGTCTACATGTGATAGAGAAAATGTGGTATACATACACAATGGAATATTGTTCAGCCATAATTAGGCAAAATTGTGTCATTTGTAGGAAAACTGATATAACTTTAGGCAAAATAAACCAGACTCAGAATGATAAATATTGTATGTTTTTCTAAAATGGCAAATCTAGATATATAAATACTAACAAATCAAAATTATGCCTAAACATGAGAGTACTTGAAGAGAAGGAAAATAGGGGAGGGGGAAGGAGTCTGAGAGAGTGAGGGGGTAAACAGGATCACAGTAGAAAATACATGTGTGGAAATGTCGTAGTCAAATATATTATTTTGTACAATTAAAAGGAATAAACCACAAAAAGAAAATAAGGTTAAGTATCCCAGTTATATAACAACATACAGTAAAGAATTATTTTGGGGGCTGGGAAGGTGGCTCAGTGGTAGAGCGCTTGCCTTGCATGCATGAGGCCCTGGGTTCGATTCCTCAGCACCACATAAGCAGAAAGAAAAAAGCCGGAAGTGGCGCTATGGCTCAAGTGGTAGAGCGCTAGCCTTGAGCTGAAGAGCTGAAGGACAGCACCCAGGCCCAGAGTTCAGGCCCCACAACCGGACTCAAAAAAAAAAAAAGAATTATTTTGAATGATTTTAAAGAATATTTTGTAACACACAATACAAAAGGAAGAGAGAATGAAAACAGCAACAATAGCAACTACAGTGCCTCTTGTTTCCTTCTTTTGGAGTTCATTTCATAGAATATTATTTTATATGATAATCTGTTCATATCTATTGAGCCTTTGGCCCACTACTCCTATGCTTAGGCTCCTTTGGCCTCTGTATATTAATGACTAGGGTCCTATATAGTTTATCATGCCCTGGTTTTATTTATTTGTTTTGGCCATTCAGTGCGTTTACTTGGAGATTTATAGGCACATTCTAGTTACCACAAATGAGAGAAACCATGAAGCCTATGTTTCTCTGGTTCTGGCTTACTTTGCTTAATGTAATATTTTCCAAATCTCTTCATTTCCTTACAAATGGTACATTATCATTCTTTCTGATGGATGAGTAGAATTTCATTATATATATGTATATATGTGTATATATACATATATATATTTGTATATATATACATATATATGTATATATGCATATACATATATATGTATATATACATATACATGTATATATATACATATATATATATGTATATATATATATATATAACATTTTCTTGATCCATTAGTCCACTGAGGGACATCCAGGTTATGTAAAAAATGAACTGGATATCTTATGGGTGAAGATGGGAGGGAAAGATTGGGGGAGAGCAACGGAAGGGAAAAAATGGTTAAAAAAGAATTGTACTGATTGTACCTGATTCATGTAACTGTAACCCCTCTGTATATCAGCCACAAAAACACAATAAAAAGGAATAATATTTTGGGCTCTTACTGTTGGTGGAATACCTTCAGGAATGGAGTGAGCTTGGATGAAACTTTTAAAAATGTTAAATATAGCCTCTGAAAATATGGAAACAGATTATATAACTTAAACGTGGATGTATAAAAATAATGCTAAAGAAAACAGGAATAAGCTCTATGCAGAGGTTGACACCAGTGGTTCCAGCTACTCAAGCAGTAGATATTGGGAGGATTGTGGCCCAACGCCAGCCACGGGAAAATGTTAGCAAGTACACATCTAAAAAAAAAAAAAAAAAGAAAAGAAAAGAAAGTTAGGCATGGTGGCATATATCTGTCATCCCAGCTTTGTGGGAGGTATATGAAAAGGATCATATGTCCAAGCCAAAAAACAAGACTCTCCTTGAAAAAATATCTAACACATAAAGGACTGGAGATGTGGCTCAAGTGCCGAGAGAATGCCTGCCTAGCAAGTGAGAGGCCCTGAGTTAAAACCCTAGTACTGCCACCCCCCAAAAAAGGCAGAAAAGATAGAGTAAGCATAGAGAATCAAGACAAGATAAAATGAATTTTAAAAATCAATAGTCATGATACTAATGAATACCAAATATATCATTGGGCTGGGAAGGTGGCTCAGTGGTAGAGCACTTGCCTTGCATGCCTGAGGCCCTGGGTTCGATTCCTCAGCACCACATAAGCAAAAAGAAAAAAGCCGGAAGTGGCGCTGTGGCTCAAGTGGTAGAGTGCTAGCCTTGAGCTGAAGAGCTGGGGGACAGCACCCAGGCCCAGAGTTCAGGCCCCACGACCGGATCCCCAAAAAAAAAAAAAAAAGAAAAGAAACCAAATATATCATTCAAAAACTTACTCAAAAGACACATTTCAGTTTGGATTGAAAATATCAAAATCCAACTATAAGCTATAAAAAAGACACAAAACAAGAAGCTGAAAGTATATGAGGAATGATAAATAAAATTATACAAAGTCATCAGAAACAATCCTATATAGCTATATTAATGTAAGATAAAATATACTTTCAGGAAATAACACTATAAGAAAATATGTTCAGTCATTATGTAATAATAAACATTTGATTCACAAAGATGAATTGCCTTAATTTATATGTCTCTAATCGCATAACTTCAAAACCTATAAAGAAATGATGGCAAATTTTGATTGACTTTATAAGCTATTTCTGAGGATGAAGGCAAACGTGAAAGTGCTTCATAACTGAAAACAATATCGATTGTTTTACCTTTCCAAATACTGTGCTTTTTTGATAACCAGTCACAGGAAATTGTATCCAAAATGGAGTGTGACAAAAACACTCTAAAATGCAGAACTGGCTAAGTGGAGGCTGGATTGAAAGCAATAACCACTCATCTCATATGGGGATGGGTAAATGATGATCTGTTTCCTGCAGTAGCAAAAAGGTTGACTGAAGTAGTACCTATTGTCCCCTGAGGGTGATGCCAACTGCCCAGATAGGCTGGAGCTTTAAGCAACTTGGCAACAAGCTATCACATAATTAGACTATGATGAATTATTTCAAGTGTCTTTAATGATGGTGTGTACCCAGGACAATGTATAGGATAAAATGGCTTCTCCCACAAGTAAGAGAGAGCATAAACATGCACAGTTGTATGTTTGGCTTTTCTGAGATTAAGTCTTGCTATGTAGCCTACAACGATCTTGAACTTGAGATGTTTTTGGCCTTAGTATCCTAAGCACCAGGATTTCAGATATATGTTATCATGTGTACCAATCAATATGTAGCCTCCTCCTCCTCTTCCTCTTCTTCTTCTTCTTCTTCCTCCTCCTCCTCCTCCTCCTTATTATTATTATTATTATTTTTAGTAGTTGTACAAAGGAGTTGCCATTCAACAAAGCAGTTTATGAATACAATATCTTGATATATGTCACCCCTTTCAAGATTCTTACCCATCCGTTTCCTACACATCTCTTCCCCCATTCTTCTTAATTTTGTAGGCTATACATTGGAGTCTTGACTGCATTCTCTCCTTCTCCTCTTCATTTGTCTTTTTTCCCATTGACCTTACCCTACCTATGTTGCCTACAACTAAGAACCTGAGAAAGCCAAAGACCAGATAATCATGTACTTTGGAGATGGCAGCCATTAAAAAATATCTTTACCTTGTCTCTAAGGCTGTTTAGGAATGAAGATATTGTGAAAGAGATCTAGTATTTAGGCCACTCCTCAAACATTTTTACCTCTCCCTTGGGATAGCGGTAGCGATATTTATCTTGGTCCCGTAGTGCAAATTCTTCAGGATAGTGTTCCTGGATTTCTTCATAGGTCATCTCTTCACAGACACCCTAAGAAAAAGCATTTGGAGACAAAAGTATTCACCTGGTGAAATCCACACAGCTGTTAGCATAGTTCTAAAACCAATGATATGGAATAGTAGAAAATCTGTATGTCTATGAACAAAGCTCTGAAGTGATCCCTGTTGTTTGTGATTATGTATGTGTGCAGAGGGTGTGTGGCTGTGTGAGTGTGAGTATGAATGAATGTGTTGAGCTGAGTGTATGGCATTTTCCTATATTGTCTCAGTATGTCCATAGATGTATATAATACATACAAATGTGTGTTTTTATAAATATGCAAGCAGAAGGATTTGTGATTGTTTGATAGCATATATGCAGCATATTTGTGATGCATACACAAGGTATAATTAAGCACTTCATAACTAATGTTGGTGTGTATTTGTTCCTACATATGCCATGTTTGTGTGAATGAGTGTTTGAGTGTGTGTGTGTGTGTGTATACAGGGTGTCTGAACATCTGAAAATGTGCTTGTGTGGGTGTTGCTGTAGTATTTGTCTCCACACAGGTTTCTGTGTGGAACGTATATCTATGAACGTGTTTGTCACTCATGTTTCACTTATATGTGCATGTGTGTACCTGCATCTGAAGTCTCTGTGAATTTGCAGTAATGTGCTGGAGGATATGAATGTGCTATGTTCATGTCATGATATGCTCCTCTGTGTCCATGTGGGAATATATGTAAGACTATGTTTATAACAAATATGTCCATATTTATTTCTACATGTATATGTCTCTCTGGGCACATGTGTAGTGCAGGTATGAGTGGTAAAAGATGGTCCCTGTTTGTGGAATGTATGTGTGCATATGTAAGCATACTTAAAGACAGTATCTAGGATTCTATGCAAGTACATATGTGTATATAATACAATGATGCTTTCCCATTGAAGAGTCTTCTCTGTTCTTCCTGTTCTGCCTCCTACTTTGGGATCTCTGGAAAACTGACAGTTAGCCACAAACATAGAAGAGGGTGGAAACTAGTAAATGATTAAAGGCTTCAGAATAGGCTTTGAGGAGACATATTCTTCATCTAACAAAGGTATTAGGGACTAAGAGAAAGAGTTACTCAGGCATATGACAGCTTCCATATATTGAGAAATCCCCCACAGGTAAGTGAATGCTGGAGGTGGTGGGAAGTGATATTAGGTTTCTATAGTCTCTTTGTAAGTGTGTAAGGGGGCAGAAGCCTATTTTTTCCCTTTTTTGGTGCCTGTAATGTAGCTTGAACTTAGGGCCTGGGAGGGTCCCTTAGTTTTTTTTCAATCAAGGCTAGTGGAGTCACAGCTCCACTTCCAGCATTTTTGGTGTTTAATTGGATTTTAGAATCTTCCAAAATATACAAACTATCCTGCTCTGGCTGGCTTTGAACCATGATCCTCAGATCTCAGCCTCCTGGGTAGCTAGGATTACAGTAATGAGTCACTGGCACCCTGCAGGGGTGAGAAACTGGACCCTTCCATATCCTAAAAACAGCCCAGCCATGTCAAACCTCTTGAACTGACACTGTATATGGAAAAAAGTGTGCCTACTGGGCACACAGGCCCTTCTGATTGAAATCTACCTTTTATTCTGAGGCATGTTGTAATCCTTTGGCCTGGAGAATGGTCATGGGCTCCTTATTTTGACTTAGGCAAATTGTGTAACCCTCTCTAGATTTATCTTTGTCATTTACAAAATGAAGAGAATTACAACTACCTTATAAAAGTGTTCAGACTATTAAGCATACTATATGTAAAATGTACTAGTAGAATATGTACAAGCACATGAAAAAACCCAATATCTCTGGAATTAAACATTTAATATTATTGTTAGTAAAAGAAAATAAACAGCCGGGCGCTGGTGGCTCATGCCTGTAATCCTAACTACTCAGGAAGCTGAGATCTGAGGATCATGGTTCAAAGCCAGCCCGGGCTGGAAAGTCCGTGAGACTCTTATCTCCAATAAACCACTAGGAAACCAGAAGTGGCATTGTGTCTCAAGCAGTAAGTAGACTGCTCACCTTTTGCTGAAGAGCTGAGGGATAGCGTCCAAGCCCAGAGTTCAAGCCCCACAACCAACAAAAAAAGAACAAGAAAAGAAACCAATAACTTATTTCTTCTTCTTCCTTATCTATCAACTATAGCCAATTCTCAAGTTTCTACCTCCTATCTCTCTCTCAAATCCATTCCTGGGCTGGGAATGTTGCTTAGTGGTAGAGTGCTTGTCTAGCACTAGTTTTCAGGAGGCTGAGATCTGAGGATCATGGTTCAAAGCCAGCCTGAGTAAGAAAGTTCCTGAGACTCACCTCCTGTTAAGCACCAAAAATGCCAGAAGGGTGGCTATAGCTCAAGTGATAGAGCACCATCCTTAAACAAAGAAAGCTCAGGGACAGTACCCATGCCCTGAGTTCAAGCCCCAGGATGTTCACAAAAAATGTGGTTATAGCCAGGCATTGGTGACTCATGCTTATAATCCTAGCCACTCAGGAGGTTATGATCTGAGGATTGTGGTTTGAAGCCCATGCAGGAAAATCTGTGATTCTTATCTCCAATAAACCACCAAAAAGCTGAAAGTAGAGCTGTGGCACAAGTGATAGATCTCTAGTATTGAGCAATAAAGCTCAAGGACAGCACACAGACCCTGAGTTTAAGCCCTAGGACAGGCACACACACACAAAACAATGTAGTTACATTCAGACTACTTCTCCTTGACTTAGGCAATGTCATCAGCTTCCCAATGCTGTCAAAAGAGCATCTATATCTAGCAACATGGACTGTAAGGTCCTGTGACCTAGGCTCTTTTTCTAGCCTCATCTCCCCTTCCCCCATATGTCCCTATTATTGTCCCTGCCTCTCCACTATTCTTTTGGCTTCTTGACCAGATCACATTCTCTTTTCAACACTGGGCCTTCACATGACCTGTTTTCTCTTTCCCTGAACTAAATTTATTATTCCATTCCAAGCCCATTTTGTTCTGTGTCTTACCTTGAGCTTTTTTCAGAAAACTTTTTACAATCACTCTTCCAGATTAGGAGTCATTAGACTGACAACATCATGTGAATTTGCCCAGCTCAGCAAGTACAAAAGCTACAGGCAAAAACTACCATTTTGAATCTTTAACTCTCATTTGCATGGGAAGCAAAAATAAGTTTCCTTCTCTTCATTTCTCCCCACTGTAACCCTGTTATGCTAAAACAAATCCTTGCTAAAACTTAAAATATATAAATCACCCTCCCAGATTTAGTCAGAACCCCTTATCTTCTTTCATCCTCCACTGTTCCTTCTCGTCTCAGAATACTTTGTTACACTTAGATGTAATATCCTTCTTACTTGCTGCCTTTGGGATGAGAAAATGTCTAGTCCCAATACGCAGAAGTGTTTTTCATGCACATGGATGGTTGTTGAGAAATGTTTATTGATGCTACAGTACTTTACCTAGTATGTGTGAAGCCCTGGGTTCGATCCTTGGTAGCAGAAAAAAGAACTGTTTATTGAACTAATTAGTTTCTCCATATGGGATAGAGCAGAGACAACTAGACAATAAGCACAAAGTACAGTCTCCTCCCCCCACCTGCCAGGAAATTCACTCCTTCCATCTCACCGCATCAATCTCATTCAGGGCCTTCCATTGCTCATATGGAACACCGAGGGCCTCTGCTGTCTGGATGGTCCTCTTCATGTGGCTGGTCCATACCTTCAGGGAACTGATGTTCTGAGACTGAATGAAGTTGGCAAGGGCATAGGCATACTAGAGTGTAGAATTGCAGAGAAGAGGAGAGAGGAAAAATTCATGAGAAAGGTAGGGAAGCCATGAGAACAAGCTCAAGTCCACCATGATTGGTGGAATGGTGATGAACAAGCCAGAGAAGAGAGCTTAAATGTTCCATGCTTACAAAAACATAAATCTTGCTGGGTGCTGACGGCTCATACCTGTAATCCCAGCTACTCAGGAGGCTGAGATCTGAGGATTGCAGTTTCAAGCAAGCCTGGGAAGGAAAGCCTATGAGACTCTTATTTCCAATTAAGCACCAAAAAGCCAGAAATAAGGCTGGGTGAGTGGCTCACACCTGTGATCCTATTTACTCAGGAGGCTGAGATCTGTGGATCACAGTTCAAAGCCAGCCCAGGTAGGAAAGTCTGTGAGACTCATCTCCAAGTAACCACCAGAAACCTGGGAGTGGCAATGTGGCTCAAGTAGTAGAGTACTCACCATGAGCTAAAAAGCTCAGGGACAGTGCCCAGGCCCAGAGTTCAACGAACTCAACATCAAAAGCAAAAGTCAGAAGTGGGGCTATGGCTCATGTGTTATAACACTAGCCTTGAGCTCAAAAGCTCAGGGATAGCATTCAGGCCTTGAGTTCAAGCCCAAGAAGTGCTCCCCCCACCCCCACACACCATATTATTTTCATGTTGAATGGTAACCTCTTTGTACAACTGTTTAAAGATAATAAAGATATAACTAAATAAAAAAAAGACATAGTGTTTGGAAGGGGATACAGGAAGTGGTTGATCAAAGGACTCAGTTAAAAGCTATTGTAGGAGGAGAGAGAAATGCATTAATAAATTCTAGCATTCTACTGCACAACAGAATGATAATAGTTGAAAAGAAGGTGTTGTACATTTCAAAATATCTAGAAGAGATGATTTTTTTCACCAGTCCTGGGACTTGAACTCAGGGCCTAAGGTCCTGTCCCAGAGCTTCTTTTGCTCACTTGAGCCACAGCACGACTTCTGGATTTTTCTGTTTATGTGGTACTTAGGAATCAAACCCAGGTTTTGTGCATGATAGGCAAACACTCTACTGCTAAGCCACACTCCCAGCACCAAGAAATGATTTTTAATATTCTCATAATAGCTGGGCTCTGGGGCTGTAATCCTAGCTTCCCAGGAGGCTGACATTTGAGGATTGTGGTTCAAAGCCAGCCAGGCAAGGAAGTCTGTGAAACTCTCATCTCCAATTAACTACCAGAAAACAAGAAGTGGTGGTGTGGCTCAAAGTGGTAGAGTGTTAGCCTTGAGCAAAAGAGCTCAAGGATAGTTCTCAGGAACTAAGTTCAAGCCCCATGACTGACAAAATAATAATAATAATAATAATAATATTCATAATAAATGCATGAGGTAATAAACCAATATACAATAGCTGACCATGTGGAAGAAGAGTCACTGTTACCTGCTGTGACCTATCACTAGGTCTCCCCATCCCTACCTCAGGACCCAGGCAGTGGCCCCCTGACCAAGGCCAGCTCAGCCAGCCCGCAATTGTCTGGCACGAGGCCTTCCCTACCTGCTTGCCCCGAGCTGAGAGTCCAGAGTCACCTCCGATGCGGCCTCTGAGGTTGAGTTCACTCTCACCATGCCGGCACAGGTAGATGGAGCGTGGGGTGACGTGGATGTTCATGAGGTAGTAGACTGTGCGACTCTGAACGTGGTCCTGAACTCGATTCACCATGTAGCGTGTGCCCACATCAAAGATCTTGATGTAGGACAGGTGGCTGGGCCAGACCGAAGCAGGAGCAAGGGCAGCTCAGGGGCTGATGGTGGGGAAGGTTGATCCCAAGAGAAAATCCCAACCGTATACCCTGCTTTCAAGCACTCTCTGCAGTTCAGCTCTCACCGAGCAAGATGCTTTGTTTTGTCCTATCCTGAGTAGTTATTGTAGAGACCTAATTCCTGACCACCCCAAGTAGCTTACTGCTTGCTAGTCCCAACTCATCTCCTGAATCCTCAGCTGTAACTGCACTCTTTTGACTTTTACTTACCACAACACAAGTAGCTGGGATTTTTTTTCCTTTGTATTCTATATTCTTATTGTACTCAGAGATCCCTGGGAATGTCCTAACACTTACACCGATTATCTCCTTACTTGTCCATTCCCTAGCTTTTTTCAATCCTAATCAGGACTCCTCCTTTCCCCTGAGTTTCTCTCTCCCCTTCAGCTGTGATAAGCTGTACTTTGTACTGTACAGGCAGCTATCAGGTTGTGCCTGTATGTTCGCACACAGAGAGAAAAGAGATGATCTTTTCTGTGTGAGAACACAAAAGCAGTTTGACTAGAAACACTTTCTCAGGAGCCTAGAAGAATTATCATCTAATGTGACCTTGTTCACTAGATACTGTCTGCTCCTCAGACCAGTCCTGCATGGCTCTAGAAGAACTTCTAAATTCCTCATTTTAGTCTAACAATTGAGCTGCTTTCACACACTGCCTGGTCTGACTTCATCTTGCAGTTCCATGCCATACCTATATACTTTCTTTGTCTCATTCCTGTCTTCATGATTTTGCTGTTGTACTTAAAATTTTCTATACTCTTTGTCTCTTACTCAGACTTAACTAGGCCATTATAAACACTACTCACTTTATTTGAAATGACATCCCTTGCCTGATTTCCAGTTTCATTCTTGTGAATACAGCTTCCAAGTGTTAGCACATGAACTCTCTTGAAGAAGTTTTTGGGGGCTGGGAAGGTGGCTCAGTGGTAGAGCGCTTGCCTTGCATGCTCGAGGCCCTGGGTTCAATTCCTCAGCACCACATAAGCAAAAAGAAAAAAGCCGGAAGTGGCGCTGTGGCTCAAGTGGTAGAGTGCTAGCCTCGAGCTGAAGAGCTGAGGGACAGCGCCCAGGCCCAGAGTTCAGGCCCCACGACTGGACCCAAAAAAAAAAAAAAGAAGTCTTTGGGTCCAAGGTCATGTAAAAATCACTTAGATTCATTCAGCACCACAAGTATTGTAATAGCTCATACCAATCCCCAGTCCTAAGGCTTGAACTAGGACCTGGGCACTGTCTCTGAGATGTTTTGTTCCACTATGTCTGTTTGGTAGTCAACTGGAGATCAAAGTCTCATGGACTTTCCTACCCAGCCTGGCTTTGAACCACAACTCTCAGATCTCAGCCTCCTGAGTAGTATGATATCAAATATAAGTCACTGGTGCTCAGCTAAAACAATTTTATAAGCTATATTAATAACATAAGGAGATTTTATCGAATCTAGTTTTGCCTTTTTCATTTTTCACTATTTTGAATACTAAATATTAAAAGCTTTCAGGATAGTTTCCTTAGGTTTTGAAGGGTAACTTGTTAATACCCTAAGCACTCAAGAATCTAACTCTTCCAGGTCTTCTTTCTCCATGCTGGGTCAGGTTTCCTGCTCTGTGTTCCTTCAGTCTACTTTGCTTACTGAGTTCTTACAACTGTTAATCAACTGTGGTCCCACTGTCTTCTCTGACCACCTCGACATTTTATCAGAGCAAAGAAAGCTCATCCCTCTTTAGGTTCCTAGCCACAGCTAAGGTTGCCCTTGATACATTGCCTGTAAATAACTACTAGTGGAAAATTAAATCAAGTTGCCCTTCTAGATCTGTCTTATTCAGGCCTAAATTGCTTGTTAAAACAAATATCACTCTTCCTGGATTGTAGTCTCAGATCTCAGGGTTTTCCTGATGCCATTCTTTCACTTCACACACCTCCTCCCAAGCTCTACCATTTGCTATTTGCCTATATGGTGCTCTGAGCATAACACAAAATGCCACTCCAGAAAATAGATAATCCTATTCAGCATACACAACCCCACTCCAGCACATCTGAGAGAATCAAATGTACTCTTGACCAGGGAGTTTGTACAGTGAGCAATATGTAAAATTAGAAATAAAGGCCATGCTCCTTGCATTGAGTATCTAAGCCACATATAATAGTTTTTTATGATATAGGGATACAAGAGGAATAACCAGGCTGGAGGGTTGGAGATATCGGTTTCAGTATATACTCTGCTGATGATTCATCATGTGGCAAGCCTCTGACCTGATCTCGGTTTCATGTGCTCTAATTAAGGAGTAGAGCAGTAACAGTGCCATTTTCTCAGTAATTTAGTTGGGTAAAGCTAAAAGAATTCTATTTAAACTTCCGAGGATGGAATTGACCATTTAAGGCCTTTTGACACTTCACTCTAGGGTCTCAAAGGATGTGGATGACCAGGGCCTCTTCTCATTACAATCCATTTTGAAAGATATTGCCGTTCTGGAAGCACTTCACATGTAAACTCACATCTGTCTTGAACTTCTAGCTATCTCAGTCAATCTCATGAATACCTCATACATCATGGAAAATTAGAGCCAGGAATCTCATGAAGGCACCTCATTAAATCTCTGTCCTGATGCGACAGACAAAGAAGCCGAGGCCACAGAGGGAGGATATGTACCCAGGTTCTAAAGGATATTAAACTTAGGTTAATAATCCAGGCTCTTACCTGTCCAGTTCATCATCCAGGGGTTGGTAGTTGACTTCATAGCACTCAATTCTTTTTAGAAAATCTTCTAAAACATTTTCTTGGTCACAGTCTAGGTAATCAGGGCTGCCAAGTTTCACTTGCTGGGAAACGGAAGAGAGACACAGAATCAAGGGAGAGAGTGGGAGACAAGAGACTCTGGCAGTGTTGAACATACCTTTTGTCACTGTGGGTGTGAAAAAGAAAATCTAGAGAAAAATCTGAGCTTCCAATTATCTGATGACCTTTCAGGTCTCTTCTGTTCTTGAGCTCAGTACTTGGATGAAACAGGTTAACAACAAAAGTTGGTAAATGATCTAGTACTAGATAACATGATTAGAGTAGTAATGGTAGAGATAAAACATGGGACAGGATAAAAAAACATGGGCTTTTGAGAAAGACAGCCATTCTTGAAATATAGTTCTCCTTTTATGCTGAAGCATCAGTCTATGACAATCCACCTTACTTCTTAGAACCTCAGTTTCCTCTCTCTAACATGAAAATTATCCCTATTATGTGGGTTTGTTTGTTGTGGATAAAAGAGAACCGGGTTAAAAAAAAGAGAGAGAGAACCGAGTATAAGTGGCTCACCCTGTAATCCTAGCTACTCAGGAAACTGAGATGTGAGGGTCTCAGTTCAAGGCCAGCCCAGGCAGGAAATTCCATGAGACTCATCTTCAATTAACTGCCCCAAAGCCAGAAGTGGAGTTGTAGGTCAAGTGGTTAGAGCACTAATCATGAGCAAAAGGCTCAAGGACTGTGTCTCAGGGCCTGAGTTCAAACCCCAGGACTGCCATCCACAAAAAAGAGAGTCAAGCTTGGTGCTTGGTGCATACTAAGGGCTATTGTAAAATCATTATGGGCCAACATGATCAGAGGATACTTCCTTTACCAAGTGGGAGATGTTCAGGTAGAAATATTTCCTTTCATGTACTAGAGATCTTTTTAGACATGATGCAAACCTAAGGCAGAGTAAGGAGGAAAGGTAATTGGTATTTTTACCTTGATGTTTTCTGCAATGATGTCAGGATCATTACAAATGGACTCAATGAAGAAGACCTAAAAGAGAAACAGAAGGGAGATTTCCAGCAGGAAATTATATTTGGTAGGATTTACACATAACTTCCGCCTTTGCAAAGGCTCTAAGACATCTCCAGGGGCATCTTTGACAACATCATGTTTCATACAATGGTGCTTGCAAGTTTTACAAGCTTGTCTGGATTAAAGTTGAATGGCCTTAGATTGTTTTGTGTTTCTATTAGGTTCTGGTTCTTACATATGTTTTTCACAGCGTTTTTTTTTTTCTGCCTCTTCCTCATTACCACGCTCCTACCCCAGTTCCAGGTGTCAACAATCATCTTCAACTGCCCAATGTGGCACTTCTCCTTCCCTGCTGCTTTGTTGCTTCTGACTATATTGTGGAGTACTAAGCAATCAAATTAAGATGTCAAAATATAGAGTACAATTTGGCTCTTCTGGCTATCGTAGTTTGTAATTTTTTGCCAGTAATAGGGCTGTAACACAGGGCCTTGCTCTCTTGCTTATTTGGGGCTTTTTGGTCAAAGATGGTGCTCTACCATTTGAGTCACACATCTACATCTGGCTTTTTGCAGGTTAATTGCAGATAAGAGTCTTGGAGTTTTCTGCCTGCCTCAAACTAAGATTTCAGCCTCCTCAGTACCTAGGATTACTGGTATGAGCCACTGGCACCTAGCCTCAGTTTGTATTTCTTTGAGGTTTGGGCTGAGGAAGTAGGCTGTAAGCAAGAGCGGGAGCGATACTATACCTTATAACCATGTTCTTTAGCAAACTGCAGAATTAGTGACCGTCGTTCTCTGGTAGTGTTGGTGGCATCAAAAACCTAGATACAGGTAAGAGATTACTTACTCTGAATCTAATGTTGACAGAACACCACTGTGTTCTGTCCTTCTGCTAAGGGTAGGCTTCCAGAAGGGCACAGAATTTGAAGAGTGTTTTGAAGGAAAGAAAAAAACTTAGAATTGGCTCATGTCAATTTCCAAAGCACTGTGAGCCTTTGTTGGCTACTCAGAAATATACTAGACTCTGTGAATGTAGTAAGAAGAACATTGTGGGAGCTGGATGCTGGTGGCTCATGCCTGTAATCATGGTGACAAGAAGCTGAGATCTGAGGATGACTCTTTAAATCCAGGAAGTGGCGCTGTGGCTCAAGGAGTAGAGCGCTGGCCTTGGGCTGACAAGTTCAGGTACAGCACGCAGGCCTAGAGTCAGCACCCGGGCCCACAGTTTAAGCCCTTACAACTGGGGCTGGGAATGTGGCTTAGTGGTAGAGTGCTTGCCTAGCATGCATGAAACCCTGGGTTCAATTCCTCAGTACCACATAAACAAGAACAAAAAGACCACTCTTCAAATCGAGCCCAGGCAGATAAGTCCATGAGACTCTTATCTCCAATTAACTACCAAAAAGGTGGAAATGGAATGTGGCTCAAGTAGGTAGAGTGCTATCCTTGAGCACAAATGATCAGGGACAGCACCCAGGCCCTGAGTTCAAGCCTCAGGACAGGCACAAAAAGTTGTAGAATTTTATTAGGGTTATTTTACAGGTGAAATAATTGAGGTCTAGAAGTTTCTGACAGATTTTCTTAAAACTGATCCTTCTAGGTGAGGTCTCTTCCTTCTTTTATGTTTTTTTTCTGTCCGTTGTGGGACCTGAATTCTGGGACTGGGCACTGTCCCTAAGCTTCAGCTCAAGGCTAGCGCTCTACCATTTGAGCCACAGTGCCAATTCTGGCTTTTTCTGCTTATGTGGTGCTGAGCAATTGAACCCAGGGCCTCATGCATGCAAGGCAAGCACCCTACCACTGAGCCACCTTCCCAACCCCTCTTCCTTCTTTATCACCTTAGAAACCTCAAAAACAGGAAACAATTATATTATTTTTTCTTCCTTCCTTCCTTTCTTTCCTTCCCTCCTTCCTTCCTTCCTTCCTTCTTTCCTTCCTTCCTTCCTTCCTTCTTTCCTTCCTTCCTTCCTTCCTTCCTTCTTTCCTTCCTTCCTTCCTTCCTTCTTTTTTTTTTGCCAGTCCTGGGTTTGAACTCTGGGTCTAGGCCTGTCCCTGAGCTTCTTTTGCTCAAAGCTACCACTCTACCAATTGAGCCACAATGCCATTTCCAGCTTTTTCTAAGTAGTTTATTGGAGCTTTATAGTCTCATGGACTTTCCTGCCCATGCTAACTTCTAACTGCAATCCTCAGATCTCATTTTCCTGAGTAGCTAAGAGTATAGGTGTGAGCCAAGAGTATAAGTGTGAGCTACCTGTACCCACCCAAGTCTGGCATAAAGGTACACATCTACTTTTCTTTCTTTCTTTTTTGACCATAATGGAGCTTGAACTCAGGGCCTGGGTGTTATCCCTGGGCTATTTTGCTCAAGGCTAGTGCTCTACAACTTTGAGTCACAGATCCACTTTCCAATTCTATTCTTAAAACTTTAGTTGGGATCATTTGTATGTGAACATCTCTCCTGTTTATTACTTACAAATTTGATCCTAAGAATCTATGAGATTAAATTGCCTGGGTGTTTAGACAATCTCTAGAACTCAAAATTGTTTGTAGTGCAGTCTTAAATTCCAGTATAGTCCTGCTGAATTTTTGAGCCATTTCTTCTGGTCTTTAACATGGAGAGTAATAACAATACATATCTCATGAGAATGTGAAAATTTCAATGTAAGTAAAGTACTTAGAATAATGTGTGACATATAAGTAAGTGCTAAAAACAAAAACAATGTCAGCATTTTCTATTATGAAAGCCATCCAAGGGGGAAAGAAAGAAAATTTCTTTACCGCAACGTGACCTTCCTCATAGCTGAGATATTTATGAACATCCTTCAGGGCTGCTAGGGCACATTGCCTGAAAAAGACAGAGAAGCACACAACCCTCCTCCCAAGATGTGTTCCTCTCTCTCTTTTCACATTATATTCTGTAGTATCTCTCATACATCTTACATTAAATGATTTATCTGTTGAATACATATCCAGAGTGCCCTCTATACTAGGCACTATGTCAAACACAGAGGGGGTCACACAGTAACATTGGCTGTGACATGTCCAGAAAAAGCTGAGTGATGACAGTATCCCTAATTTTAAGGGCTCCAACTCTTGAGCTAATGGAGCTCAAGCTGAACTTGTTTGTCAACTCAGGTAGGGACCTACACATATAGTGTGAAGTTAAAGACATTCCTGGTATGTGTAATATTGTAACCATAGTCTTAACAGTGGTAGTATACACATGCTTCTAGGAAAAAATCCCCTTAGTCACTGCTCACTACTGGTTTCTATGATAAAGGAGACTCAGGCTCTGTCATGGAAGTACTTTGAGTCATAGAGGTTGAGGTGATGAGACTGGAGAGTCAAGAGTAGACCAAGCTATTAAGACTCTCAAATGCTAGGCTAAGACATTTCTATCCATTCCCATCATAATCAGGAGCCTATCAAAGGTTCTTGATGGTTATGATCAGAACAGGCTTCTAGTAGGATTATAGAAAGGCTCTTGTAATTATCCTTTGAGAATTTACAGGGTCTCCTCCCCAGCCCAGATTACTCTGCCTCACTCCCCCTACATCTGAAGAAGGGCCTCCCTCAGCCAGGGGACAGAACAGATCCCTAAAAATGTTATGTACTTACTTCCTGATAAGTAGGGCCTCCATGTTGTCTGGGAGAAAGAATTCGTAGTTCTTGTAGCTCACTGCCTCTCGTCGATATTGGCCTAAATTAAACACTGAAAGCAGGGAGCCCTAGTGAAAATGTTTGGAAGAACCCAGAAGATATCCTCACTGGGAGGGCTATCAGAATAGAAGAAGGGTAATTTATAGCTATAAAATGTGCTTATTTAGAAAACTTCAAATTATGACTGCCAGCCCCTTATTTCTTCACATAGCCCCTGAAGGGAGGAGTCACCTTTGCCTCTGCACAAAGTGAAGAAAGCAAAGTTCGGAGATAGGAAATAAACAGTAAATAACTGGGGATTGGGGATTCAAACCTAGGTCTATCTGACTTCAAACAATTCCATTTTATTATAAACTTAGCCCTCTAAATGTCCTACTCCACTAGAAAGATGAAGAAACTGAGATCCAGGGAATAAAATCAATCCCCAAAATTCAAACAGTAAATGAGCTGATAACAAGACACAGATTAGGCCTCCTGCCATTTCACTTTTCTGAATCATGAGAGAGAATCTAAATTTGAATCTCTAAGTAATAGTTTCGTACTTGCAATGGTGAAAAACGAGTGAAATGAGAAGGAAAGGAGAAAGAAGATAAGCAGCAGGAGGAAGAGGATGAGAGGTAATATTTCATTCATTCATCCAACAAATACTTTTTGATCTCTATTCTGTGAAGTGGCATATGAGTTCTGAGTCACAGAGAAATAACCAGATCTTTGTAATGGGGCCAACAAGAAGCCCACAATGAAGCAGGAAGGATGGTGAAGAACCACACAGTTTGTTAAGTGCTCTGACAGATACAAAATGGAGGCATGCAAAACAGTAAGGAGGAAGGACAAACTTCATTTGAGGTGATCAGAAATGGCTTCTTAGAGAAGAAATTTGGACCAGTCTTTTAGAGTACATGGGTATGAGGGTGATGGTGGGAAACAAGAACACTCCAAGAAGAAGAACAGCTTGAACAAAGGCAAAGCATGTTTTGGGGATGGTGGGTCCACCACTGTGGCAGTGGCTTGAGAGCCTGGAAGGGGTCAGTTGTAGAGAGCCTTGAAGGACAGGGTGAGAATCTTGGGATTAAACCTGCAGTCAAGGGGACTCTTGGAGGCTGTAGGCATGTCCACATTGTACTTCAGAGTCTGACTCTGTAGGCCTCTGTGAGTACTGAGTACAGAAGGACAGGAGAAAGGAAGATCAGGGAAGCAACCCATCAATGACTGAATCACATTCCCCCACTAAGCAGAGGCTCCTTAGAGCTTGCAGCCTTCCATAGACATAGATCCTTCTCCCCTTTCATTCTGCAAATGCCCCCCTCCTCCCATAGGACCCAGCCCAAGCTTGACGCTACCCTCTAGTTAGTATTCCCTCTGTGAGCCTTCTCATTGCTGTGTGTGATGATTTCTAGGTGATATACAATCAAGTTGACAATTCATCAATGACAAAGTAAGAGTATCATCCATTTTTCATAGTTACTACCTACCGTGGGTTTTTAGCATGTGGGAAATCATTGGGAAAACCTTTCACTGGTGAACTAGGTAAAGACAAAGTAGGTGAAAGGCAAGGAACAATTGGGTAAAAGAAGAGATTTAGGGGCTCCAGTGTAACTCAGCTACAGAGTTCACACTTATCATCCAGGAAACCCTGAGTTCAATCCCCAGCACAGAGAGAAGGAGAGGGGAAAAGAGAAATGTATATAAAGAGAGTTAGAGGGAGACCAGTGGGAGGGAGGATGGGGAAAAGAGAGAGACAGGGAGGGAAAGAATACTGAGAGAGAGATGTATAGAGTGAAGGGGTAGACAGAATGTTGAGAAGTGTGAGGAGAACTGAGGAAAGCAGAGGACAAAGCTACAACGGATCCCTTTCTCCATCCATCAGTAGAGCTAGGAATTAGACCTTGCACAGTGAATGTCAGGCTTGGGAACAAGCAGATTCTGATTCTGTCACTTACACACATGAGTCCTTACATAAGGCACTTCACCTCTGTGGCCTTCATTTCAACTATGAAATGGCAAAGAAATGATAATACTAAAAAATAGCAATAGTGTGGAAGTAAAAGCAATGATTATAAAAACAATCATCTTATTATTTAAAACAATTATCCTATTACCCAGAGGATTATTTTGAGGTCAGATTTCTTCAAAGAAGTCTGACTTGTCCTTCCTCCCACCACCTTTCTCTCTGTGCAGATACTGGGACTTCAACCCAGAGTCTAATGTTCTTGCTTCACTTTTTCACTCAAGGCCGGCACTCTACCATTTGAGCCACACTTCCACTTATAGCTTTTGTTGGTTAGAGATAAGAGTCTCATAGACTTTCCTGTTTGGGCTGGTTTTGAACTGCAAATCCTGAGATCCCAATTACAGGATTACAGGTGTGAGCCATTAGCGCTCAGCAGACATTTAGTGTTAAAACTCATTTTCCTGTGACTGCCTCCCAGCATGTGATTGGACACACATGTCCTGGAATGTGGTGGCAGTGGTTATAGTAGAAGTAGTAAGAGTGTCAGGAGTAATTTCAACCTTGTTAATAATCATGATGAAGATTTTGAGACCGAGGTCTTTGACCTCTTACTCGGTTTTCAGCTAGTTTCATGTATTGGGGCTGTAGAACAAAGAATGATAGAGGTATACCTTTAGTTGGTGTTCCTATCCAGTTTAGGTATCGCGTGAGCTTTGTGGAGATGTACGTCTTGCCTCGAGCTGGTAAACCCACCATGATCACCATCGTGGGGGAATTGGTAAACTGGGGTACTGTTGCTGGAAGATAAGAACAGAGCCTCAAAAGCTTTTTCCTCAGATTTATATAATCTTTTAGCATCAGCGCAGAGATAGTAATTGGAAAGAACATTTCTTCCTCTCATTAACAAGGGGACAATCTGAAAAATCTGTACATTGACTTTACTTGGACTTGTCAGAAAATTGAGGTTGCAGTGAAAGTAGGTAACCTAAAACCTAATGAAAAAGGCATCTGTGAGAGGAACCACACAACTGTTTACTTGATACAGAGAGTGCTGAAAAACATACACACTCATTAAGAAGAGTTAGCTTAAAAGGATTATTTTTTGTAGTACAAAGATTGAACTCATGGCATCACAATTGCCAGGCAAGTACTCTACTTGAACCATTTCACCAGCCCTTTTTCCTTTAGATATTTTTAGATAGTCTTGTGTCTTTGCCTTGTCTACCCTCAGATCTTGATCCTCTTACCTATTTCTTACATAGATGAGATTATAGGTGTATACCATGCCTGGCTTGTTTCTTCAGATGAGATCTTGGCTATATTTTTTTGCTTGTCCTGATCTCCAATTGGGATTCTCCAGATTGCTACCTCCCATATAGCTGAGATTATAGACATAAGCCATTGCAGTCAGCCTAAAAATTATTAATGAATTGGTAAAGGCTAGATGCATGGCATTGAGAATGTGAAATCCTCAGGGCCGTGATCTTGTTGCAATTTTCCTCCAGAATTCTACCAGATGCTGACAGTGATAGTTGAGGAAAAATCCCAGGAAGGATATCCTCCAGGGAAAGGAGACAGAACAATATCCACTGCTAGGATTCTGGTCAGACCATGTTCTCTATATTTTCCTTGGGAAAACTCTTTCTCTGTATTTCCTATGGTATTCAGGGAACAGTAACAAAAACTGTAGAGTAGAATGACATCGCCCCATTTATTAGGAAAGGAAAGTCTTGGAAAAAATTATATTAAGTTTAGTAAGGCATACCCAAAGAAACATAGGTCCCATGGTTTCTCTTATTTACAATAACTAGTATACGTCTAGGATAATCTTGCCAGACAAGCAGAAAGGGTCAAAAGCTATGTACATATGACCATATAACCTGATGCTAAGTGAAATGAACCCTAAGACACAAGAGGTTTTTTTCTTTGTCGCTGTTGTTTTTAATATACCATGTGATTTTTTTGTTTCTTTTGTATGTTGTTCCCCCATGGTATATCCCCTGTTGTCACTGTATTTTATTCTGGTGTCCTGCATCTGGTATACACATTTTCCTAATTTGGGGAGGGGAAGGGAAATAACAAAATGCTGAAACAAGGATATAGGTTGACCCATGTAACAATAAGATGTACAAGACACTATGCTGAAAATGAACTTTACAACTTGGGGGGGGAGGGAGGAGTTGAGGAGGTGGGGAGAGAAGGGATAAAGGAGAGGGTAACAATGCCCAATAGGTAATGTACTCACTACCTTACTCATGTAACTGTAACCCATCTGTACAGTATCTTTACAATAAAAAATATTAAAAAAATTATAGAATGACAACATTGTGGAAACTTGCTGCAGCTGCCAGTGGAATGACCACCACCATTGAAATTCAGTCCTGACCAATCTACTTTCTCTCTTTTGAGGGGAACAAATGCTCAATCTGTACAAGGAAGGACAACAAAAGCTGCGAGCATGGGTCGAAAATTACTACCTCTGGGAAGAAAAATGGGAACGAAGTTCCAATCTAAGAAGGGCACAGACATGGGCATGCTTGCCATTACAGTTAAGGACAGGAACACTTGTTATTTTGTTTTTTTCTTTTTTTCCCAAGATCAAGACTCGAACTCAGTATCTGACACTTTAGCTCCTTGGCTAACGCTGTACCATCTGAGCCATGCCTCCAACTCTAAGGGCAGGAACACTTATGAGGGTTCCACCTCCAACACTCAGGGAAAGCCTGACTGATTGAGACTTATCAGAATAACACAGAATGTCCTAGTCTTCTGTTCTGCAGGCTTAGAAGCATCATTACAAATATTAGTGAAATACATCTAACAGAGATTCAAGAAACAGATTGTCTTCAGGGAACAGTACAAACGGAAGAATGAAGGCCAGACCAAAAACAAATTCTGAAGAGACAAACCAATGATCAGGACCAGACATAGTTATGACATAGGCATGGGAATTGTTAGACAGAAAATTTAAATCACCTATGACTAATAGTTCAAAGCTCTATTGGAAAAGGTAGTCACAGAAGCTCAGATAGATATTTTCAGCTTGGGGATTGAAAGTGCACTAAATAAAAATTCAAGAAGAAAAAAAAAACAAGAGAAAATTCTGTGTGTGTGTGTGTGTGTGTGTGTGTGTGTTTAAAGAAGATAGTACAAAACATCCATGAACTATACGCCAAAATCTATGGGTGATGGAAGGAAGAGTGGGGCAGAATAAATATTTCAAGGCTTAATAGCAAAAAATTTCCAAAATTAGTACTGCTGTCAACCCATAGATCTAAGAGACTAAGAGAACACTAAGCACAGTATTATTGTCAAGAACCATGCCCAGACATACAAAATTCAAATATCAGATAATCAGGACAAAATAAAATCCTTTAGGCAGTCAGGAAGGAGAGAATAGGCAGAGAACACCACATCTATAGAGAAAAAAAGAGAAGAATTATACTAAATATCTTGTTAGAAACTACATAAGCAAAAAGATAGTGAAATGAAACCTTTAGTGTTGAAAGGGAAGAAAAACCCAACTCAGAATTTTAAATTCGGCAAAAATATCCTTCAGAACTGAAGGGAATATATCTGGGTGCTGATGGCCCATGGTCTGTAATTTTAGCTATTTGGGAGGCTGAGAAAGGGAAGATCATAGTTACAGGTTAGCCCACGCAGAAAAGCTCACAGGCCTCTTTTTTGTGTGTGCCGGTCTTGGGGCTTAAACTTAGGGCCTGGACACTGTCCCTGAATTTTTTTGATCATGGTTAATGTTCTATTACTTAATCCACAGCTCCACTTCCAGCTTTTTGGTGGTTTGGAGATGAGTCTCATGGAGTTTTCTGCCCAAGCTGGCTTCAAACTATAACCCTCAGTCTAAGTATTCTCAGTAGCTAGTATTACAGGTGTGGGCCACTGATGCTTGGCATGAGGCTTTTTCTTAACCCGTAAATGGGTGCAGTGGCATTTACCTATCATCTAACCTACATGGGAAGTTAAGATTGGGATTATTGCAGTACTAAGCCCAGCTCAGGCAGAAAAAGAGAAAGAGAAAGAATGTGGATGAGATGGCACATATCATCATCTGTCATCTCAGCAACTCCAGGAAGCTTAAAATACGTGAAGTATGGTCCAGGAGCATGTCCAGGCTGGCAGAAGACCTTAACTTAAAAATAACCAGCAAAATAATTTTGAGAATCTGGATGAAATGGAAGAATTTCTAGCAAATATTGACATGTCCAAATTAAATCAAGATGAGTCAAACTAACTTAACAGTCCCATATTAAGCATCGAAACAGAAACAGCAATAAGAGACCTTCCATCCAAGCAAAGCCCAGACCAGATGGGTTCACTGCTGAATTCTATAAGGCCTTCAAAGCAGATCTCACACCAATACTCCTCCAACTCTTCAATGAAATTGAAAATCAAAGTTCACTACCAAACTCCTTCTATGAAGCCATCATAACCCTCATCCCAAAACCAGACAGGGACTCATCAAAGAAAGAGTACTATAGACCCATCTCTTAGATGAACATTGATGTAAAACTTCTCAACAAAATTTTGGCCAATCAACTTCAACAAGTCATAAAAAAATCATACATCATAATCAAACAGGATTCATTTCAGGAATGCAAAGCTGGTTCAATATATGCAAATCAATTAAGGTAATACATCACATCAACAAGAGCAAGGATAAGAACCACATAATTATCTCAATACATGCAGAAAAAGCATTTGACAAAATCCAACACCCCTTCATGATGAAAGCTTTGAAGAAGCTAGGAATCCAGAGAACATTTCTCAATACAATAAAGGCTGTGTATGACAAACCTACAGCCAGCATTATACTTAATGGAGAAAAGCTAAAGCCATTTCCTCTAAACTCAGGAACCAGGCAAGGATGTCCCCTCTCTCCACATCTCTTCAACTTAGTATTAGAATTCCTAGCTACAGCAATTAGACAAGATGCAAACATAAAAGGGATCCAAATAGGGCAAGATGAAGTAAAACTCTCCCTCTTTGCAGATGACATGATCTTGTATGTAAAGAACCTCATGGAATCCACTCCTATGCTACTCAAACTGATTTGAGACTTTGGCAAAGTAGCAGGGTATAAAAGTAACTCTGAAAAATCAACAGCTTTCCTGTATGCCAATAATAAGAGGGTGGCTGAAATCAGGAAAGCAACTTTATTCATAATACCCCCACAAAAAATAAAATACCTAGGAATAAACTTAACTAAAAAAAGAAGGACTTCTATGAAGAAAACTTTAAAAATCTGATAAAGGAAATTAAAGAAGATCTAAGGAAGTGGAAAAACCTCCCATGCTCCTGGATAGGGAGGATTAACGTCGTGAAAATGGCAATACTGCCAAAAGCTATCTACAAATTCAATGCAATACCCATCAATATCCCAACGTTATTCTTCAATGAAATAGAAGAAACAATTCAAAAATTCATATGGAACAATAAAAGAACCCAAATATAAAAATAATCCTTAGCGGGAGGCGGGGGGAGGCTGGGAAGGGATGTGAAGGGAAAACAAAGGAGGAGGCTGCAATGCTTGATAAGAAATGTACTCATTATCATGCCCATGTAATTGTAACCTCTCTGTACAGTATGTTCACAATAAAAAATAATAATCCTTAGCATAAAGAACAGTGCTGGAGGAATAACAATACCAGACTTCAGACTCTACTACAAAGCCATAGTAATCAAAACAGCTTGGTACTGGCACAAGAATAGACCTGAACACCAATGGAATAGAAATAAAGACCCAGAAATTAACTCACAGACCTATAGCCACCTAATC